GCAAGCAGGGGATTGTAATCATTGCCAACGAGGTTATATTTAGGAATGATGGGGTAAAGGGCCAGATGACCTACTCTCTTCGTTTGGGGTGGAGGGAGTCCATCTATCATCTCACCTTCACCCCAAAGAGCTAGAGGAACTGGATGCCATGGCAGAGTTCAAGGCCCAGATGCACCTAATGCCCACACCACCAGAACCCCGGATCTGTGGACTAAGTGTGGGCTCCCAGGCCTGGCTGTTGCGACGCCAAAGTCGTGCTCTCCTAAGCGCATTGCAACGCAGTTCAACTACTTGGGTCCCCGTGGTTCACCAAGGCGCCCGGCGCAAGGAAAGGCGGCTGCGGCAACGCCTAGCGCAAGCCGCGCGGAGACTGGAGTCACTGCAGGCTCTGCTAACAGCGAGCACTCACCAAGACGAGCTTGGAGCCCTGGGGCCAGTGCTGGGGCCGAAAGCTAGGCGGCCTCTAGAGGGCTTCCTAGAGACCGAGGCACAGGAGTTGAGCGAACTGGTGGGCGCACTGCAACGCGACCTAGACTGCCTGTTGCAGCAGCTAAAGGGAGCGCCACTGTGCTCCTCTCGGCGCTGTACCGCGGTGGCCCAGGCTCTCTGGACTGGCCGCCTACCGCCACCTTGGCGACTCCATGCGCCCGCCGGCCCTCAACCACCCTGGCATTGGCTGCGACAATTGTCACGTCGTGGGCAGCTGTTGACCCGCTACTTATGCGAGAGTGCTGGCACCGAGGTACCAAAGCGTGTCTTCCACCTGTCCGCCTTTTGCCACCCGCGCCGCCTACTTCTGGCACTGCGTTGGGAAGCTGTCCTGGACCCGCATTCGCCCAGCCAGAATTTCCCTGGTAGCCAAGGTTCCGGCTCCAGTCACTGCCCGCTTAAACGTCAGGAGCTGAACAGCAATCCTCTGCATCTCAGGGTATTGGCGCTAACCTTCCATTTCTGAGTCCACACCTCAAAGCCCTTGCCCCCACTCCCCCCTCACAGTTATCCCAAAGTGCTTCTTTAAGATCTTGACTATCTTTGACTCCACCCCATAGTCCCATCTGACTCCACCAAAATCCCTGGCTTCCTACTTTTGGCTGACGGATCTCCTCTGCTCGCAGGTGGAGAATGGGCCAAATCCCACCGTTCCAGAGATGGGGCTGCTGCTGACTGGGCTACAGATCCTGAATGCCGAGTGGGACCCAATAGCCGGGGCCTTGCAGGACAGTACTTCCAGCCAGCCCAGCCCTTTGCCTCCAGTCAGCGTCAGTGCGCAGACTTGGGGCCCCAATGACCTGCCCCCTACAGGTGGCCTGGCTGTGTACTCCTGCCCTTTGTACATGGAAGGACCGCTTGGCATCACTAGGCTGCACAGCAGAAACATCCTGATACACCTGCCCCTGCCCACGAAGCTCAGCCCCACCATCTGTGCCCAACGGAGAGTTTATGCATGCAGTCCACCCCTGCCCTGAGTCCTCAACCAAAATAAAGCTGGAGTGATTCCGTGAAAGGCTTCTGAGATTTGCAGAGTGTAGGGTATGCGCACACCTAGGTGAGGCACTGAGGGAAGAGCCCAGTGTGGGCACAACTGAAGTGACAGGGGGACATGCATATGGGAGAGGAGCTAAAAAAGGGTTATATCTGACAACTAAGGAGAGGGAGAGTGGGTACACTGAAGAGACGGTCCTGGTGTTTGTCATGTATCCAAGAGGAAGAAGAGGGGACAATGACCATCACTCAGAACCCTTAATCCTCTTCCAACTCCACTGGTGGTCTCAGAAAGATGAAGTTGTCTGCTCCCTTATTTAGTCTCAAAACCCAATGGAGCAGTTCTACTCTGTCCTATAGGGTAGCTATGAGGAGAAATCTACACGATAGCAGTTGTTGTTGGGGTTGTTACTCAATGGCAGTAGGTAATGGTATTACTGATAATGTCCCATCCTGTTCTACTCATCATTCCATCCCTATTCTCTGAGTGAGTTACAAAATAAGATACAAGGTCTTATGATGATTCAACAAGTCTTTATTAAGTACTCCTGGGTCAGGTGTTTCTCCAGGAGCTGTTGAGAATATAGGAAGACATGTAATAAAAGGTCAACATATAAAAAACTTAGCTTTGTTTTTAAGTACTATAAAGAAAACAGGGTAATGTGTTAAAGAGTAGCTAGAAGAGAGCAGTTAATATAATTCAGATGAAGTTGGGTAAATAATTGGGTTTGAGAATTTGGTCTCTGTCCTTAGTTCTTGAGAGAAGTTTAACCTCTAAAACTTGGTAATTTTCCTAGTAGTTGAAGTGTGCTTTATCTATAAGGGCATTCTCACTTCCAGGAGTTCCTCTCCTAAATACCCAGCGCTACTTTGAGCCAATAAGGCTGTGCTTTTCTACCTTGGAGTTGAGGGATGGGTGGAGTTGAGAAGCACCTTCACATGATCACAAAGTCACAATTCTTATCCACTGCAGATGAGGTCTTTCAAGGGTAAATTCTTATCCAGTCAAAGTGATCCTTTTGATCAAATCTGCTTTTAATGAAATTCCAGTGCCTGCAAATAGTTTTTGAGTTTCTACTTTGTCCAGATTTTATAGTTAACTGGGCTGATAAATTCACTTGGAATCAGGAACCAAGATTCACATTTACATCTGTAAGGGAACATCAGTAGGAAAAACTTTCCCATAATCTTTTGTGGTAGCAAGAATTTATAGGTAATTTAGATGTCCTTAACTGAGGAAACGAAAAGTAAATGTGTAAATTATCACTACACACTTTGGAATACTAAACAGACATCACATACAATTAATTCACCTAATATATGCCAGTTATGTACTAGATTCTAGGGACACAGCACTGAGTGAAACAGATCAAGTCTTTGCTCTCTCAGAATTTACATTCTAGGTGGGGGGGGGAAGGGTTGGTGGTTATGTGCCGTGGAGTTGGTTCCCACTCATAGCGACCCTGCACAGGGTTTCCAAGGCTGTAAATCTTTACGGGAGCAGAAAGCCTCATCTTTCACCTGCAGAACCGCTGGTAGTTTCAAACTGCAGGTCCTGAGGTTAGCAAGCCTGGTTCGTAACCACTACGCTACTGGAGATACACAATAATTATATAAATATACAACAAAAAAGGTATTAAGTTCTTTGGAGAATTGACATTTGAACAGAGACCTACAAGAAATGACAAAGGAAGCCATGTAGGTATCTGGGGAAATAGTATTCCAGGTAGATGAAAGAGTAAGTATAATGAGCAGGCTTTCAATGCTAAGTAAGTAGCACAGGTGGAGAGATTTGAGTGAAAGAGGCAAGTATTAAAGAGCTGAGGTCAGAGAATTGATTGGAACCCAAAGAATACAGAGGCTTGTAAGCCACTGCCAGGACACTGCACTTAAGTATGTGATGAGAAGTTAGGAGTATTCTGAGAGGAAAACAATGAGCCACAGGTAGGTATAACAACATGAATGGAAGCATTGTTTCGAGTGAGGGGGTAGTGGTTGATGTTGCAGTCCAGAAGCGGAGGACCCTGGGACCATCAAGGGAGAAGAGCAGGGGCAGAGTGTGGGACCCTATTCAGAGAAGTGGTGATGCCAGAGATGGAGGCAGAGATGATGACGTGGAGAGATGGAGCAGCTGGGAACTCTAGATTCATGAAGAGAGAGGGGCTGTGTGCCAGCAGGGGGCAAGCTTGCAGGGTATGCCCTTTGGTTGTTTGAATGATTATATATTCCTGAGTGTTTCAGTGTACATCCAAAAAATAACAACAAACCAGAGGGAATAGAAGCAAACACTGTTGAATGATGATGCAAGCAGGGGATTGTAATCATTGCCAACGAGGTGAAGGACGATAGGATGAGTGTAAAACCAATATTCTTGCACGTAAACTATCACTCAATTCACAATAAAAACTTAAATATATATATATATATAGCATTATTGTGTAGTTGTCCATCTCTCAATTCGGTTAGAGACTGATTTGCATATTTTGAGAAAATTTATTATGGTTATTTCCTCTTGTTCAATTGCCGTTTAACGTAAGGAAACAGTGTCTTTGTCTCCTATGCTAGGTTTTACCTCAAATTCCATTTTAGAGCGATTACTATTGCATTTGTTTTCATCCATTCAGAGTCTATTTTTGTCCTTATGTCTAAGGTGTGTCGCTTGTATACAGTCCATCATTAGGTCTGATTTTCTTATCTAGTCTGCTATTCTGTCTCATGATTGGTGCTTTAGTCCATTTGCCTTTACTGTAATGATCAATAGGTATAAATTGATTACTGATATTTTTTATTGGATGGAGTGACATACTGGCAACAGCATTGGGCTCAGACATTTGTGAGGATGGTGTTGGACTGGGCAGAGTTTCCTCCTGTTGTGCATAGGGTCACTTAATGTCAAACAAGTGGTTTCTTTGTTCCACATAATTTTCTGTGATTTCATTTTACTTCTGGGCTGTTTTTGTGTGTGTCTCTCTTTCATTGCTGTTGTTTTAGAGTTGACTAAATGTTCATGATTTTCCTATTTTTATTTTCAGGAGATAATTTATTAATGCTCTTTGAGATTATCCTATAATTTATTAATGTCTTCTCAAGTTTGAGTCTGTTCTGTCTTGAAATCTACTTGTTCTACTCTATATTTAGAAGTTCTGTAACTATATTATTGATTCTTTTAACTTTGACTTCTTTTGTTACAAGTTGATTATCTGGTTGTACTTTGACCAATTCTATATGCTGGACAGCAAATAAGCATACCGTAGAGAATTGATGCTTTTGAGTTATGGTGTTGGAGTAGAATATTGAAAGTGCCGTGGGCTGCCAAAAGAACTAATAGATCTGTTTTGGAAGAAGTGCAGCCAGAGTGCTCCTTGGAGGCCAGGATGGCCACACTTTGTCTCTCATACTTCGGACATGTTGTCAGGAAGGCCCAGTCGCTGGAGAAGGATATCATGTTGGGTAAGGTGGAGGGTCAGAGAAAAAGAGGAAGATCCCTAACAAGACGGATTGGCCAGGTAGCAGCATCCATGGACTCAAGTATGGCCAACAGTGGTACGGTTGGCCCAGGATCGGGCAGTGTTTCGTTCTGCTGTGCATGAGGTCGCTATATGAGTTGGTGCCGACTCTATAGCACCTAACGCCAAAATATACCTAGACTGAGTTCTGGGTGATACTGTCATATGCTACTCTCACGTTACTGTCTGCTATTGTTGGTCCTCCATCCAAAGAACTCCCTTTCATATTTTTCTAAGGTTGGTCTGGTTTTTATAATTCCTTCAATTTCTGTTTATCTGAAAATGTCCTAATTTCAACATCATATTTGAGAGATAATTTGCTGGGCATATGATTCTTAGTTGGCAATTTTTTCATCCAGCGTTTTATATTTGTCATCCCATTGTCATCCTCTACCACTCCTCTGTCAGTTTGTCATACTTTGGTGGCTTGTGTATTGCTGTGATACTAGAAGCTACGCCCCCAGTATTTTAAATACCAGGAGGATTACCCATGGTAGACAAGTTTCAGTTGAGCTTCCAGACTAAAACAGACTAGGGAGAAGGAAAGGCAGACTACTTCTGAATGTTTAGCCACTAAAATCATATGCATAAGCAGTGGAACACTCAGCTAGCATCAGAGCACTGGATGTTGAAACATACCAAAACACTGTGAACAGCCCCAGAATACTATCAGACATAGTGCCAGAAGACAAGCACTACAGGTTGGATGCCACTCAAAATGCAACTGGGAAAGAGCTGCGTCCTGAAAGTAGAGTTAACTGTGATGATGTGAATGGAGTAAAGACTTCGGGGCCTTAATTTGCGATGGAGCTGTGAAAATTAAGGTTTTGTACCAACTTGACTGGGGCAGGATGTCCAGTGGTCTGGCAGTTGTGATGTGATTTTCCCAATAATGAAACCTAATACAGGCACAGTTAGTTAACTCTATGATGATTGACTTAAGCAGCCAATCAACTGAAAGGATGTGTCCTTGGGCGTGTGGTCTTATTGTTGCTGTTGTTAAATGCTGTCCAGTCAGTTCTGATTCATAGCAACCCTGTACAGGGTTCCCAAGGAGCAGCTGGTGAGTTTGAACAGCCAACCTTACAAGTTCAAACCGACCTTATGATTGAGTGCTTACCTTAACAGCACCACACCAGGACTCCAGGCCTGCTACTAATATAATGAACAAACAGGAAAAGTTTGCTCTCTTTTTCTGCTGGGGTCTTGGGACTCTACCGTTGTGAGTCATTTCCTTGATACAAACTTCTCTTTATATATACACATATATTTGTTGTTGTTAAGTGCTGTTGAGTTGATATTAACTCATATATAGGGTTTCCTAAGAGCAGCTGATGAGACTGAGCCACCGAACCTGAGGTTCAAACAAACATTGTGTGTACACACACACACACACACACACACACACACACACACACACACACACGTTTCAATGGTTTTGCTTTTCTAGAAAACACAGTCTAAGACAGGGGCATAAC